TGTGTGGGGGTTAGGGAGTAAGAAGATGCAATTTTCTTTGGTTTCACATTTATTTTTAAACTTTGACCAGTGTTGGAGCTCTAACACAGGCTTGCCTTGGGAAGTGACAGCTTCTTTGACTCTTCCTGGGTCGCCAGCTCAGGTCCCAATCCAGTACTCCCCAACCCTCCACCCAGACCAAATATGCAGGTGGCCATTTTGAAAGGTCATTTTGCAGAGCTGGGATTTCTCTCGGCATCAAACCTGGAAATGAAAATCAAGCTAAATATTTGTTTGGACCCTGGAATGATAACATTGGCTGATACCAGTGTTATTTTGTCTGCTGCTGGTTCCAGTATGAAAAATGAAGCTGACAAAATATCTTGTATATCTTTCAAAACATCTCAACATTGGAAAGAGATAAACAGGAAGAGGAAACTTGTGGCTTTTACAAATTATGTACTTTAACAGGTAAAGACTCCTTCACAATGGCCAACATTGGTGACCGGCTCCCTGTCACCATCACGTTGCTGGGGCGTTTTTGCAGTCAAGATCTAGTCTAGAGGCGAGCAGTGCTATCTCCCAATGTACAGTAGGTCAAGCACATTAACAGCCTAATTGAGGCCAATTAAAGTGGACGAGTAAGAATGTTCCACCTGACCTTCACGTTCTGACAGGTGGCCAAAATTTAGATAGGTTATAGGCTGTTCCTATCTTCCTTGCATGTAGGAACTGTCACAAGCTGCTCCACAGAGGGCATCTCTCTGCCTTTGATGCTGACATCACTCCAACCAATGAACTAGCCTATTCAGTTTAGCTTTCGAGTTAAAGATTTTAAGAAGTTTGAGAGAAGGTGCTTTTACCTCGAAGGTTTGAAGACCTCTCTCTCTCTCTTTCTCTCTCCCTCTCTCTCTCACTTACAGTTTGCTGCTTGATGTTCAAGTTGGATGGCCATTACATCTAACTTCAAGAAATAATCCAGCCATCTTTAATTGGATGGCAAATTTGCCCTGTGGATATGAATTAGCTGCCACACGTAAAATCACAGGACAGTGCCCTCAAACAGGTGGGTATAGGACCTGGAAATAGTCCTAACCTCTGTTTCCTATTTCCCCCAAGTCAAAATCCAACCTCAGTTTGGGATAAAGCAGAGCTAAGCAATCTTTGTCATATGTACTATATCAGGCATGGTTCCCCTGTACGACTATGTTCAAGATGACACAGTCGGCCTCTGAAGGGGAGACAGAGACTTTGTGTGTGGAAGACAGTGGAACAGAGAGCAAGATACAGAGAGTGAGAAAGATGGAGAGATAGAGTGCGCATGTGGAACAAAGAAGGCATGTGTGGGAAGGCGTGATGCATCAAGGCTCCTCCAAGAGCACCTTCCAAACCCACCATCTCCAATACCCTTGAATAAGGGCAGCAGATTTTAATGGGATCTGGGCATCACTGGCTAGGCCAACATTTATTTCCCATCCCTAACTGCCCAGGTCTGGAGGTCTGCATTCACATGGTAGAACCATGAAAGTATGGTAGTTTCCTTCTCTAGACAACATTACTGGATGATGGGTTTTTCAACAATTGACAATTTTTTCATGGTGATCATTAGACTCTTAATTCCAGATCTTTATTGAATTCAAATTCCACCATCTGCTGTCGTGAAATTTGCTAATGTTCCAGGAACATTACCTGGGTCTCTAGATTAACAGTCCAGTGATAATACTATTAGGTCATTGCTTCCCCCATGAGATATCTGAGAGCACCACCAACTGCAAGTTGTCCTTCAAGCTACACACCATCCAGACCTGGAACAATATCACTGTTCCTTCACTGTCATGGAGTCAAAATCCCAGGACTCTTCCAAACAGTACTATGGTGTGCCTATATTCCAAGGGCTACAGCAATTCAGGAAGGCTGTTCACCACCACTTTCTCCAGAACAATTAGGGATAGGCAGTAAATGCTGATATAGCCAGCAAAGCCTACATCCCATAAACAAACAGAAAAGGAGAAAAAAAGTGTGTGGAAGGCAGTGGAAGAAGGAGAGAAAGAAAGAGTGAAAGGCAGAGAAAGCGAGTCAGAGATTATAAATGGGAGACATTGAGTGAATATGAGAGGCAGCAAGAGAGAGAAAGTGGGATGGAGAGGCAGTGAGGTAGTGTGTGAATATGTGTGTGTGTGTGAGAGAGACAGAAAATGTGTCAGTATGTGTGAGAGTGAGTGTGTGCAAGTGATTGTATGTGAGTTAGTGTGTGTGTGTATGTGCAAATGATAGTGTGTGTGTGTGAGAATGAGTGAGTGTGTGCGGGTGTGTGTATGTGAGTGTGAGTGTCAGTGTGTGTGTGAGAGAGAATGTATGTGTGTGTGTGCGTGACAGTGAGTGTGTGTGTGTGTGTGTGTATGTGAGCGTGTGAGAGTGTGTGTGAGTGTGAATGTGTGCATAAATGCGTACGTACGTATATGGGAGAGATCTAGACACAGTCCCATCCTTACCCTCCTCCTTATCAAAAACCTATCAACAAATCATTCTGAAGTAGTGTCACTGGACCCAAAACATTAACTCTGCTTTCTCTCCACAGATGCTGCCAAACCTGCTGAGTTTCTCCAGCAATTTCTATTTTTGTTTCATCATACTAACTATCCTGATAGAAACCTCATCAGCGCACTTACACACATTTCCATATTAATTTGTCTCCATATCTAATAAGATTTGGAACTGAACCATTGGAAATTCAATATTTTAAAATACGAATCAGTGCAGTCTCAAATTAAGGAAAATTGGGACTTGTCTTAAAAGGACAACTTATCAAGTCAGTTAGCCATAAATAACAGTGTGAAGCTGGAGGAACCCAGCAGGCCAGGCAGCATCAGAGGAGCAGGAAAGCTGATGTTTCAGGCCGGGACCCGAACCGAAACGTCAGCTTTTCTGCCCCTCTGAAACTGCCTGGCCTGCTGTGTTCCTCCAGTTCCACACTGTGTTATCTCTGACTTCAGCATCGGCAGTTCTTAACTGTCTCTAAGTCAGTTAGCCACTTTTATTTGATTTCTCAGATGTCCTTCATTTGAGCTTATGATTAAACTTTGCTTCTTACCGTCTTTGAATAAGTTTGAAGACTTCACATTTTCCTTGATTATTACTCAATTCCCTTGCTACTGAGATTGTCCACTCTACTTGCTGCATTTACTGCTCCAGCTTTTGTTGCATTTTTATTTGCAAGTTTGTGGTTAAAACAGACACTATTGTATCCCTAAAATTAATACTGGATAAACATTTGATGGAAAAGAGCAGGGCAATGGGATTAGTTTTGGATTGCTCTAGCACAGAAATGGTCAGCCAAGGGGCCTCCTTCTGTGCTGTGAGGTTCTACTGTTAAGACATCTGAGACACAGGCTGTTTTATACTTGATCCAAACCGTACTGCTAGAACTTGCCACAAATCAAAGATTGAAATGGACCACATTGTTTCAACTAGTTTCAAGATGAAACTAGAAGTAATCGGGAAATGCATCTTTAAGAATATTTATAAGCTATAAATGATCTCAATGATTGAACATGCAAACATAGGAAATGATTATTTTGTCCCTGAAAACAGCAGCCATATGAACGCATGAAAAATAGCTCACAGAATTGCCTCACAGACCCAGTGATTTTTCTAGTCCACATCATAATATTGGATATGATATCAAATATGAGCACTTAGAAGACATGTTTTTATCATAAGTACTTATGTTGACTATGCAGGAATTTTTAAATCTTACTTTTGTTTTCATAACTAAATATAATACAAATTTTATCATATATTTTGCAGAATCCCCTGGTAAACAGCAGCACCACATCTGATTTATAACATTGACATAAGAGATAACTCAATGAAAAATAACTGATTCAGTTTAAATGTCATTTACCTTAAGGCAAATGCAATGACAATCTGAAGAGACAGTTGGATTATGTCTTAGGGCTGAAAATGTTCCATACAAGTGTGAATATCATTTAACCTCAAAGTTTCCAGAAATGGGTGCTGATACTGGTTAGAAAACTGTAAATTTGTCTCAACTCAGACTGTAATAGGTTTGGAACCACAGAAAAAAAATTTTAACAACCAAGTACAAATTGGTGATCTTATTCAGAAGCACTATAAGATTGGATAAAGATAAACAATATCACTTAATAAATTCTATGATAGCAAAGTTGTTTATATCAGTGTTTCATGTAACATACTATTTTACATGCTTAAAGGCATTAATATGCTGTGCCAATTTCTTCAATTAAATAATGTTATGCATCGTCAAAAAACTTTGAATAATACCTTCAGTTCTGAAAAAAAACACTTGAACTGTGCAATTAATTCATAGTAAACTATAACCTACAAAATTATCAAATATTGTGTGTAAAAGGACAGTGAAACGGCTCAGAATTTCAGTAATAGAGAACTCAGCAATCAAGAAAAATAGTCACTAAAACGCATAAGGTACTTCTAAGGTCTTTTTTTCAAAACATCCATCAGGTCTTGTAACTTTCTTCTATCATCTATCATAGACTGCATATTGTGTGGGTGTAAATGTAACTGAACAGGAAAATTCAATGATATGTAAACCTCCTTTGAGGTTATTAACATTTCATATCTTTCCTAATTATGTATCTTAATTTGTGTCTTTGGTACCATTTTCTTTGTCTTTTTTATTTTCATTCCTTATATTTTTTGTTGCTCATATCCCATTTCACTCATTAGTGTTTTTTGGTTAGTTGATTGTTTTCTTTATTTTCATCACAATACATGAAGGTAGTGCTAAGAACTAGTAATTTTCCTTTGTGTAAGTGTTACCTAAATTAAGCATTCCACTAGCAAGAAAAGGTAGCTTCCATTATTCTAAACACAGCAATGTGCTTTAATCATAATGTAGTGATAAGAAGCCCTACTATACCACTACAGTACTTCAGTTTGAAACAATAGCCATTTCAGGATCTTTCAAATGAGTGCAGTGCCAAATTATTCACAATTTTGTTCTGCAGATCTATACTCACTTTGAGTTTGTACCTTCACCCCGAGGACTCCAGCAGTTCAAAGTGGCAACTCTCTTGCCACTTTCTGCAGGCCAATTAGAAATAGGCCTGGCCAGTGGTTCCCATATCCAGTGAATGGATAAATAAACTAAAATAATCAGAGCAATAATACCAAACTGTCAGTTAACAAAAGAAATCATAATGGAAATGACACATAAGATGGCCATTTACACAATCCAAAGTCTTTCGTTACAAAATACTACAGGGATTGGTTAAGATCATGGCTTCTCTACCACTACTAATATGTGCAGAAGTGAATGATTATCACACTTTAAGCTTGGGCACCTTGATGACACTCTTACTTTGAGTCAAAAAGTAATTATATCAAGCACCACTTCAGAACTTTGTGCATAATCTAGGTAGACACTCCATTGCAATGTTAACAAGTTACTACATTCTTGCTATTGGTGTCTTTAGGATCAGAAGTTAAGTCAAGCCTTTGGTCGTACATAATTTTGGGTCTTTCTGTGCAGAAAGTAGACAACATGGCAGCAAACCTAATTATAGTAAGTATGCATCAAAAGAAATTAATTGACTGGAAAGTACTCTAGGATGCCTTGAGGACATGAAAGACAATCTGCAACTTCCTTCTTCCTCCCTTTTTGTTTCTCTTGCCAGGAAAGGAGAATTAAATGGCCATTTACTCACTAAAATATTAATGAACCCCTTCTTCAAGCACTCTACTGCTCTTGAAAATAGCATCTTTTTAGTTTCTGAATGTATGGCGGATGTAATTATGTCTGGTTTTATTTCTGAACATAATATAATGCACAAATGGGTGAATTAGCTCCCCCAAACATATCAGCAGTAAGAAAAATAGATCTAAGCTGCTTTGCTTTCAACAAATCACTTAATATGCAAAAGAGTACCTTGGAAATTTTTTAAAAATCTGCCCACAGATTTACCTGGCAGATGGTTGGCAGTTCTCTTTTTTCTCCAACTGGTAGCTCACATCTCAATGTCCTGTAGCTGCAGGTTGTTCATCCCTATTTAGAATGACCACAGATGCATTAGACAAACAGGGGAGGGACAAGCTGGTTCGGATATTACCGAGCCTGTTGGGCTCCAAGGTGAAATGTTTTGTAGCATTCAATGTGTGTATGTACCTTAAATAAAAACCGAAAGAACTGTGGATGCTGTAAATCAGAAACAAAATAGAAGTTGCTGGAAAAGCTCAGCAGGTCCAGTAGCACCTGTGAAGAGAAATCAGAGTTAACGTTTCAGGTCCAGTGACCCTCAGAACTCGAACACTGGACTCAAAATGTTAATTCTGATTTCTCTTCACAGATGCTTGCCAGACCTGCTGAGCTTTTCCAGTAACTTCTATTTTTGTTTGTGTATGTATCTTGTCAGGTTTCCCTAAGGAAAGTTGTAAAAGTACGAAATGAATGTGCTTTATTATCTAAAAAGTGTAAGAGAATGCTACATCAATTTATCATGTTTACATTAAATAAATATATTCCTTTAATGAGTGATGGGCAAGCAGCACCATTAGGAATTCAGTTTGATGTGCTTTATTTCATTGTTAAGTCTTCATTACAGCTGTACATGTACTAACTGCAAAGGAGTCAAAAATGAAATGACTGGGTTTCATCCACTACTATTTGGGTTAGGATATTCAGATTTTCATTTTTGCACATTTTAGAAGCTTCTGGTTAATTCTTTTAGGGTTAATTCTTTTAAGTGTCTGCATTAATATTTGTTTTATTGCATTTTTAGTTTCAGCCATAAGGTATGAAAATACATTTTAAAATGAAGAACTAGAAATAAAAATGAGAATTCAGCAAATGTGATATCTACACAGAAAATGCTGAACTTGCAGAGCAGGTTGATCAGCACGTGAAACAGAGATGCAGGACAATATTTTGGCTGTGACCTTTTATCAAAACAATCATACTGCAGGAAGTTATCACTTTCTTTCTCTTTTAGATATTGATCAATCTCGGGCAATTGCATTGTTATTTTATAACAGGAAAATCTTTAAATATTGCTTACTAATGTTTTAGAAAATAACATTTCTCACTTTCAAATATGGAGAAATGTATAAAAAAACTGATTGACTATTTCTCCCCATATCCCATAAATCCTGGAATATATGGAAAGAATGTTTTTAAAGAAACATTATAATTTTTTATATCTGCATGCTAATAACTTATATCTGTAAACATTTCCTGTTTCCAAAACCTTACTTTCTGTTTGTCATACTTTTGCATCAACAATAGCCTGCAATTCAGTAGCATCGAACTCGAACATTGCTGAAAAGATAGCTCTGTTGCCAAATCTCTTGGACTTACACTCATGAGACAAATGCAAGAATGTCAAATTTCATTCCATCCCAAGAATTTATGCTGCTGGGTAAAAAGGCACCAAATGGTGGCAACTCTCGGACTAACTGAAGCGTTGTCATGGAGAAAGCAATAAGGAATGAAAGGCTCCTCAAGCTCCTGACTGATTCAAGAAAAGGTTCAGGCTTTGAACTTTTTTTTATTCAGAGAACAGGTCTTTGTATATGAACGTTCATTCAGCAAGCGTAAATGTGTCATGTTGCAATCGGGATTAATTATCCAAAATTGGCAGTTTGTGTAGCTGTTAGCGCACACAGGTTTGTTCAGCAAGTGCTGACCAATTGTTCTATTATATCTAACAGTAGATTTTTTTGATTTGGCTTTTACAAACAAAGATTGGTTGAGTACAGTTTTACTCTGGCTCTTATGAGCAAGTAAGGTAATATACAACTCTGCAGTGGCCATGCAAGTGGTACTTTCTACTAACAGGACAAATAATGTTGTCCCTTGCACAGAATCAAGCAATGTACTATACAAATTTCAAAACTGCTGTGATGCTCGGTACATAGGCTGAATGTCCTAGTAATTAGCTAATCAAATTGACCAACACATTCCTTCAGTTGTTTTCCATCATTAGATTGTCAATTTTGTGGGGCCCATTCTCCACATTCATATGGTCATAGAGTCATACAACATGGAAACAGACCTTCAGTCCAACTCGTCCATGCCAACCAAGTTTTCCAAACTAAACTAGTCCCACCTGCCTGCGTTTAGCCCATATCCCTCTAAACCTTTCCTATCCATTCAAGACGACTTTTAAATGTTGTAGCTGTACCTGCATATACCCTCTGTGTGAAAAAGTTCCCCTTCAAGTTCCTTTCAAATCTTTTTCCTCTCATTTTAAAATATGCCCTCTAGTTTTGAACTTCCCTAGTCTAGGGAAAAGACCTTTGCCATTCATCTTATATGTGCCCCTCATGATGTCATAAATCTGTATATGATCAGCCCTCAACCTCCTGTACTCCAGTAAAAAAAAGTCCCAGCCTAGCCAGCCTCTCCTTCTATCTCAAACCCTCCAGTCCTATAAATATCTTTGTAAATCTCTTTTAAACACTTTCCAATTTAATAATATCCTTTCTACACCAGTGTGGCCTGGACTGTACACAGTATTCCAAAAGTGGCCTCCCTAACATCCTGTACAACCTCAATTTGATTTCTAAAAATCTCCTAATACAGACCATCAGACACCTGGATAAATTGATGAGGGGCCTTTTAAGGAATGATGAGCAGCCAGCAGCTTGTCCTGCTCAGGACTCCTCAGCAATTCTTGCAGCTGTCAACTAAAGGCAACTTCAGACGTACAGACATCTCATGAGTATCAGGCCACAATTTCAAGCATGATTACTGTGTGCTAGCCAATTTTACCCTTGTATCATTCCATCAGATGTTTGCAAGGCAGATAGCCTGAACTATTTTGTAACCTACGTTAAATACTGAGTCTATTGCATTGCAACAGAACATCCACATGTTACCATGAACTTGTAGAAGGCAGGCAAGTTATCAGATCCTATGATCAGTCTTACCTGTGCAGAAGGAGAAATAGAAAGTAAAGCAAAGAGGCCAGAGAAAAGCAGACTGATTCAGTGAATGGCACATCACAACAGGTTTTCAAGATCGTTTTCTTTAGCTTTGCTAAATTTTACTTTTTGAATCTCACTGCTATCAATACATGGCAACAATAAAGAGCAGCCTAATGTCACTGGTGGGTAAATTGTTGGAGGGGATTCTGAGAGACAGGATCTGCATACATTTGGAAAGGCAAGGACTGATTAGGGCTAGTCAGCATGGCCTTTGTGCATGGGAAACTGTGTCGTTCATATTTGATTGAATTTTTTGAAGAGGCCACCAAGAAGATAGATGAAGGAGCACAGTAGACATTGTCTACCTGGGCTTCAACAAGGTTCCGCATGGTAAACTGGTTAGTAAGGTTAGATCACATGGGATCCAGGGAGAGCAGGACAATTGGATACAAAATTAGCTTAACGATAGGTGCTGGTAGAGGGTTAAAACACGGAACAAAAACAAAGTTGCTGGAAAAGCTCAGCAGGTCTGGCAGCATCTGTGAAGGAAAAAACAGTTAACGTTTCGGGTCTGGTGACCCTTCCTCAGTAGATGGTTGTTCAGACAGAAGGCCTGTGACCAGTGGTGTGCCGCAAGTATCAATGTTCTTTCCACAATTGCTCATCATTTATATAAATGATTTAGATGAGAATATAGGAGGCATGGTTAATAAGTTTGTGGATCACACCAAAATTGGTAATATAGTGGACAGTAAAGAAGGTTATCGAAGAGTAAATTGGGATTTTGATCAATTGGGTAAGTGGGTCGAGGAAATGGCAGGTCGAGTTTAATTCAAATAAATGCGAGGTGCTGCATTTTGATAAGACAAACCAGGGCAGGGATTACACACTTAATACTAGGGCCCTGGGGAGTGTTGTCGAAAAGAGAGATCTCGGCGTCCAGGTACATAGTTCCTTAAAGGTGGCAACATTTGACATGCTTGCCTTAATCGGTCAGAGCATTAACTACAGGATGTCATATTATGGCTGCACAAGATGTTGGTAAGGCCAGATCTAAAATACTGTGTACAATTCTGGTCGCCCTACTATAGGAAAGATGTTATTAAACTGGAAAGGGTGTATAAAGATGTACAAGAATGTTACTGAAACTGGAAGGTTTGAGTTATAAGGAGATGCTGGATAGACTAGGACTTTTTACCTGGAGTGTGGGAGCCTGAGGGGTGACTTTATAGACGTTTATAAAATCATCAGGGCCATAGGTAAGTTGAATAACCAAGGTTTGTTCCCGAAGGTAGGGGAGTCCAAAACTAGAGGGCATAGGTTTAAGGTGAGAGGGGCAAGATTTAAAAGGGACATGAGGGGCAACTTTATCACACACAGGGCGATGCATATATGAAAGGAGCTGCCAGAGGAACCGGTTGTGGCAGGTACAATTACAACATTTAAAAGTCATTTGGACATGTAAATGCTAGGATAGGTTTATAGAGATATGGGCAAAATGCAGGCAAATGTGACTTGTACAGTTTAGGAAACCAGGTCGGCGTGGACAAGTTGGGCCAAAGGGCCTGTTTCTGTGCTGTATGACGCTATGACTCTAAGACCTGGTCACTTTAGTAAACATTCACAAATCAAAGCTATATTATTTTGATCTAAACTTCAACCACTGATATCACTGTGTTCTACAGAATGCTGCATTGTTAAGTCAAGTAGCCCGAATACCAATCGTTTTCAAATGATACCAATAATGAAAATTAAATTATACTTCTTACTTCTTTATTCCTAGCAACTCCAAACAGATTAAGTGGCATTTTCATTATTTGAATGATGTCAGTCTGACAGACTAAAAAAGATTCAGACTAAGGAAATCAATATGTGAGCTTCCCAGAGAGTTTCAATTACATTCAACTAATAGCCACTTAAAATATGATATCAGTACATATCAGAGAGGATTGGGGGAGGGGGAAGTGAGGCAGTCTCCTGAGAAGTGATAAGATTCTGTTCTTGCTTGAAAATTCAAATGTAATGACTGGGATATTTCAGATATACACAAAAATTCATGGGGGGACTTTTCTAGTTGGGATTGGAGCTGCCATTAAATGAAACATACCTCAAGAAATCATAAACTCTGTTCCCACTCACTGACATTTTAAAAGTATTTTTTTCTTTTAGGTGTACTAACTGTCTGCTTGAGAAGTAAGGGTGTCTCCTTAATACAGTTAAATCAAGGTCCTGTGATTTCATTATGATCCCCATGACATTTTTACTGCTGCCTGCCTTAGTCCTCTTGTTAAGTGAAACCTGGACTTCCAGGAAGAAGACAATCAATAAGATATGTGTGAAGCTTTCCATAATAGTTCCAGGATGAAACTCTGTTGCCCTAGGTTCCACCCTCATCCTCTCTGATCTGAGGGTTCTTGCCTAACGAAACCCCCAGACTTTCTCAATTTACATCAGTATTAACAGGCAACCTGCATACCACAAAATCTTTGCCTGCCTCACACAGAAGTGTTTTTTTAGGAAAAAGTAATCACATTTTTACATCAGAACCTCCAGTTATCATTTCAACTTCCTGGCTGGGCTGATGTAGATCAGTAAAAACTGGATGGTGAATCTTTCACCTAATTTATGTCACAGTTGGAAACTTCCTTCTCACATATGTGAGTATTGTGAGCAACATTAAAATTAAGAGTAGCAGTAGATCATTCAACTTTGCCCCACTCCGCCATTTGAAACAATAATGGTTGATGTGATAGTGTCCTCAACTCTACTTTCCCAGTGCCTACTTTTGACTCCCTTGTCAATTAAGAATCTATCCCATTCAGCCTTCAATGTATTCAGTGCCTCACCTCAGAAAAAGAGCACTCTTCATCTCTGTCTTAAATGAAAGACCCTATACTTTTAAACTGCGTACCTTTGGTTCTAGTCTTTCACATAAGGGAAACACCCTGTCGGCAACCAGCCTGTCAGTTCACCTTAGGATCTTATTTCTTTCAGTGAGATCACCTCTCATATAAGTATTAGGATCTCTGAATATTCAAGTTGAATACTAACATGAGAGACAAGTATTTTGCACAGCTCAAAATCAACGATTTCTAATTTGATCGTATCTACGATGTTGAAATCTTTGCACGATCAGTGCTAACTATAGATTAACAATGTATATAGCATTATTTTACCTTCTGGCCTTGAACCTGCTTTCACTAGGTGGGCTTTTGTTGGAGGGGATGGCTTGAATCAAAAATAGCTGCTTTCAGAAATTGTTTCACCAAGTCCACATATTAATCTGAAGGCCATACTGAAGGCAAACAAAAATGATTAAATACATTTACATTAAGAAGATGTTAATAGTGATGACTGCCTTGAGATGTAACATTTTGTTTAACATTTTCAAGATAAATTAATGCAAAAATATTGAGATATCTATAAAGAGTCCTGTCAAATCTGTTACACTTTGACTAAAGAGAAAATGTCATGTGGAAATATTTTTAAAATGAATTGACAACATCTTTGGCAGATGTCTCTCTGAAACAAACCTGATCTCTTTCCACCTTCAGAATGCAATGACCTTCATAAATGCTCTTTACAAAATAAATGTTCTCTTTAAAAGGAGGGCCCATCACAGTTATCAATAATAAATGCAAATTCAGTTCTACACAAATCAAATGTGCTGCAGCTGATAAACTGATCTTTTTAATTAACTGTGACCCAGCAGAAAACCTCCAGTCACAACAACATCACGCCTCACTTCTTCTACTAATTCTACATTAATACTTCAGAGATTATGTGTATGTGGGCTGCTTTAAACCAGTGCGTTAAAATGTGGCTGAATATAAGCAACCATAATTCAGCACAAGATAAAAGGTTGAGATACCAAACAAAAGACTAGCTTTATTACCGAGTCACATGTCCTCCTTTATTAATGTCCTCTCCATCTTTTCCATCATTGCCTTAACTTGAACCTGTTGACTCATTTTGGGTACAGCACCATGGGGGCTATCAGACACTCTCCAATATTTGTCCAAAGTAATGGTTACCCATGTGAGCATCCAGACAGCATTGATAACCTATTCATCTAACAATTGAAATAACTGCTATTGAGAAAATAAGTCTCCCATTGCATTTGTACATATTTGCCTGCATATCTATATCTCTCAATGTAGTAAAAGTCTTGCGTTTACAATATGGCTTGTCTAAGTGTCATACTTACCTCCAGTTTCTCATTTCTCATCAAATGTTGATCAAACATATTACAATAAATTAACATAACCTCTGTTTCACTGTGAGCCATGCCTTGGGAGATATGGCTGTGCCCATTTAGAGTAAGAAAAGGGCCACTCATTTGCCATTTTTACAGAATAACAGTTACAAAATTCAATTGCTAAAGCACTGGTAAAAATCTCAGAATGCATAAACAGAAAGAAAATCTGATTTATTATAATCACTGTAAATCACTTATCCTATTAATACAAAATGAATAACATGTGGTGATGGCTTCTATTATAAACTAAGTACCTTCTGTCACACCATGAGCAACACCTAAGGAAATCTGATAGATTATATCTATTATATGCTGAGCAAACTGAGTGGGCCACAGATGAGTGAAATACATCAAAAATTCATGTGGCAGAATATGTCAACAGGAAAACACAATTTAAAAGTATCACTATTTGCCGGACTAAACAATTTAATTTCTGTAAATTGATCAGAACATCTGAAAGAACCACTAATTGATTCCAGAAGTTTTCTAAATTTAGCAGAATAAAATGTTCCTCTCAAGCTTTTTGAACTCAAACTTGTCCTACTTCCCAAGGTTCACAGAAAGTTAATTTCCACCACTAATCCTCAATTACCTCCCAGTTTTTACATTTGTGATTGTTTTAAGTTCCCTTGGCATAAAACCCTATAACTGCCACCTTATGTGTTCATGTAATCCCAATACCTGCAGTCTCTTTTGCCACTCTACAGGTGTGCACCTGCAAACATTGCCTGAACTCAATGAATCAAAGCCACCAAAACCACAATTTCTCCTGTGCCGCACCTGGGGATGGAGAATGACTTGCTTCCAAGCTGGTTTGATTGTTTTTAAGATGGCTGATAAGTCTATTGCATAATATGCACACTCTGTCACATGAGGTGGTGCCTGAAGAACTGAGCATGTAGATTGTTTGGAGATTTATGCACTCCCTTCAACACCTCAATCTAATCTGTATAATGTTCCCAATAAGCCTGCTATGTGTTGGTACCTTTCTGAATGAGTCTTCTTTATTTTGATTGGTCATCAACCATGGAATCTGATGTATTGGTCGAGATATTTGGATGCTTTAAGGCCATCCATGAAATGCTCCAATGCCCTCCTGGGAGTCTCCTGCTACGACTGAGTTCCAAAAAGAGCAGGTACTTCAGGAGTCTGGTGTTAGGTAACTGAAATACATGTCCTGTCCAGCAGAACTGGGTCTGAGCAGTAAGTGCCTCAATGATGGAGAAGTTGACTTGGGAGAGTTTGCTGCTGTTGGCGTACCTTTTTCATCAGCAGAATTGGAGGATCTTGCAAAAGCACTGCTGTTGTACCTCTCCAATAGAGGTACCTCTCCAATAATTTGAGATGGTCACTTAAGTCATCCAGTTCTCTGAAACATATAGAAGTTGGGGAGTCATTGCTATTTGGTAAACGATAAACTCATTCTTGGACTTAAAGTCCTGCTCCTCAACTTGCTTCAGTCTGTTGAAGGCTGGGCTGGTGTATTGGTTGCAATGCTGAATTTCATCATTTATATCTGCCTTCATCAAGAGGAGACTCCTAAGCCATTGATAATGGCTCACATTTGCCAGGATCCCATGATTGATTTTCATCAATAGGGGGACATATTGTACTGTTGGAGATGTTTGGAAAAGGACTGTAATTTTGCAGACTGTTTAGTGGAAGGTCCACTTTCTCATATGCTTCAGAGAAGGTGTTGACAATGACATGGAGTTCAGTTTTTGAGTGATACACTTATCAACTACATTCAGTAACTTTATGAGTGAGGAATGAGTGGTCTTGGATTGAAGGTGATCCAGTTTGAATAGTTTCTAGATTATCTCCATACCTGTGAACAGGAAATGATACAGTCTATGAAATGATACAGTCTTGTCTGACCCCAGTTTTCACTAAGATAGTGTTTGTAGTGGTTTAGTTGGTGAGGATCATGTATTGCATGTCATTGTGGCATAGGTGGAGGATAATGACATATTTTAGGAGAGTATTTGAGAAGGGCAGTTTTCTTGAATTTGTTGCAGAATAGAGATCATGAAAGTGGTGCCTATTAATTGGTATACATTGCACTGCAATCCTGCAAAGAGTTCTTTGATCTCCGGAAGTAAGCAATTGAGAAGGAACCTTGCAATGATCTTCGCTGTAGCAGAGTAGGGAGACTTATTCATGCTTATGGCTTGTCTTCCTTCTTGAACATAGTTACAATCACAGCGAAACTGAGAGCACCTAGCATGCACTGAACATACATGAACCCCCAGATGAGAAATATGAAGTTGAGAGGCTGCGTCAAGAGTGTAACTGCACCGTGTTTCATAATTTCAGCAGTGATTCCATCAGCTTTAGCAGCTTTGTTGTTTCTCAGGTTTTGAATAGCTTGTTCTAATTTTAATCTGGACTAAGACAGAGTCAAGATTATCTCTTGGTCAAAGCTGTTACAATGTTTCCTCATAAAAGGAAACCTAGGACTTTTTCACGGATGCTTATTAATTTGGGTTTTAGGTTCAATCTGGCATCAAGGCACATTGCTGCTCCTCAATTGGAGATTGAGAGATTGGCAGTGAGATGCTGACCGAGAAGGGCCAGTTTGGTGGGATCTTTAAGGCTTTGATGTTAATTTCTCCTGCTTGCCTCCATCGTTTGGGGGCCAGGCTGTTGGAATGGTTATTAAATGTGTCAGGGCATCAGTGATGAGGGCATCTCTGCAGTTCCTTTATTGAACTATACGCAAGTGCCAGTGTTTGGACTGTGGACTGTGGTGTTGCTATTAGGTCTTGTAGGTGTCTCACTAGCAAAACAGGGTGTCTGTCATGACATCGTTTTGTTTTAGATACATTGTCAAGAGAATTACTCTGTCGTAATTAGCTTTCCCTACTCTTTCCTTGCCTATTCATTATTCCAGAGATTTGCAACCTTCCTAACTCTGATGTTGAAATCTCAGAGGAGGATCAGTTTGTCACCTCTTGGAACTCAGGCTGTGGTTTCAAGCTCAGTGTAGAATCCCACCTTGGTCTTGGCTGTTACCTCAAGTATAGAAGTGCATGCTCTGATGACAGTGGCAACCTGATTCCTTTTTAGGATGAGCTGGGCAGTCATGGGACATTTGATTATCCCATAGGGAGAGGCCCTCAGGCACCACATAAAGTTCATTTTTCATGGCGAAGCCCACTCCACGAAGATGTTTATCCTCTTCTCAAAGACTCAGAGAAAAGGTCCAGAAAAAGGCATACCCAATGCTTGTTCTTTCAAATGATCTTCTCCTGTACTTCATGTCACTTAGGTGCCTCACCACTGACAGTGCTGCCAAGTTCCTGAAATATGATAGCAGTAAACTATCCAGGTCTGCCACCATTCGGATTGTCCATGAGATTCTTTACATTCCAGGTCTCAAATTCCATTCTGATGAGTGAAAAATGTCTGCGCATGATTTTTATTAATGTAGAATGATTGTCACATGTCAACTACCACAGTCCCCAGTAGAATGGCGCCTTGCTCCAACTGCAAAAGCATTCCATGACAATTAGAGACAGGGCTCTGCTGTGAGCCATTAGTACATGCTGTATTAGCAGGTAATCTGTCCAGGAACAGGCTAAAGCTGAAACATCAGTCAGACCAGCAGACACAGATCAGTAGGAAAATGAAGTCTCTCCATCATTACAATGGTGGGTAAACATCAGTGTACTGACCAAGATACTTTAATTGTCATACCATGTCAAATAGACAGTGACAAAATTTAGGTTTTAAAGTGTAACCACAGTAAAAACTGTCTCCTTGATATTGAGAGGAGTCCAGGAATTTGAAGCCAAGCTTTAAAAATGAAATAAATCTTTTTCCACAAGCTGCAGATCAGGAAAATAAATAAATAAATCATCACTAATCCTGTACAGAAACAGGATGTTACTTTCTTTTTTCCAAATGTGGTATGAAATTCGAAGCCAGATTTGAGAGAAAATTCAGAGTCAGCTCTTTTCCAGATCTTTTACAGACATCATAATGAAGGTTAGTGACAGGATTTGAGCCATCACAAACTTTTTAAGCTAACAGTTAGCATGAAGTATGGATTAAAACACACCCACAAGTTCTCAGGGGAACCTAATTAGCAAAACTTGAGATTTGAGGAGAGAAAGAGCAATGCATGGTCACAGAAGGCCCGTGGATAGACAGGTATAGGGAGGAGCTTCCTAGGGAACTGGCTACACACGATTCATCTTGGATTAGACTAGCTGCATTCATCATAAATCTAAGCCAATTCTTTATATAGAGATATAAAACCTTTCTTAAGCACAGGAGTAGAAAATAACAACATAAAAACTGGCCATTTAGCACAACTAGTCCACTGGGCATTATCT